CTCCTGCCTCTGGTCCCACTCGCCTCAACAGCGTAACTCAGACCAGGGGAGCGGGGCTGTGTCGGGCTCGGGGTGTTGCTCACACACCAGGGAGAGCCAAACAGCCGTGTCCTTGCATCTGCACTACTGGGATCTTCCCTGCGCTGGAAGTGACTGTCACTTCTTCACTGCGTGTGTGGGGAAGGCACGGCTCCATGGCTGGGGCAGGGCTGGGCACGCTTGGGCCGTGCCAGGAGCCTGTAAGGGCTGGCCCTGGAGGAAATCAGTTTAGCTTCAAAATCTGGGCATGGTTACAGGCCTGGGGGCTGCAAGCAGCTCACTTGCACGCTGCCGCTTTGCACACGTGTGTGGCAGGGTGCAGAGAGGACAGACCCCTTGGTGGCACCGAGCCCATCTCTGTCCCAGACCAGCATCTCTCTCTGCTCCTCCAGACTTGGTGCCTCTCCCCCCACTCTGCCTTCCCCAAAACATCCCCATCTCCATCCCCTCACCTGCTGCAGCACAGGGGCCACGGGGCAGGTGGGCACCTGGCGATGTGACCCTGCAAAGCGGCTGGGTGCTGCCAGGAGGCAGGAGGGTGCAGGCAGATGGGTGACCAGGGTTGTCCCCATCCCGGTTCCCTGCAGGCCATGTGCAGGAGGCTGAGAGCGTGCTGAAAGGGGCACACAGCACTCTGGGGGCTGTGCAAGCCTGTGGGCGTTAGGGCACCCACCCTGCAGGGTGTGAGAGGAGCGTGGTGCTGCCCCCCCCATTTGTGGGTGCGGGCACCCTGGGCCAATGGGTCGGTGACCCCTGGCACGTTGGATGTGGGGGGGTGCAGGCACCGCAGCGAGTCCTTGTGGTCTGAGCCCTGCAAGAAGGGCTGGTGCTGGGAACGCGCAGCCCCAGCACTGGGCACTTCTGGGAGGCAGCTGGGAGGGCACCCCAGCCACTCCGTGTCTCCAGCAACATCAGGTCCCCAAGAGCGTGAACAGGCAGTCCCCACTTGCCCTGGAGACAGCCCAATAGCCACTGCCAGCCCCACGCCTGGTGTGTCCCCCAGGAGTGGGGCCACAGCCCCAGCCAGCTCTGTGCTGGGGATCTGCCCTGCCGTCCCCACAGCGAGCAGGGGACGGTCGCCGTCTGGCCCCGGAGCCTGCGAGGGTCTGGCAGCCGGGCTTGGCAGCTGCCTGCACGCTGACGGCACCAACTATTCCCAGCCCCACACCACTGGTGCCCGTGCTGAGTCAGGGGCCTGGGGGACAGCTGCCACCCCTGCACCCCAGCACAGAGCTCTTCACCCCCAGAGACCCCTGGATCCCCTCCTGCACCCAAATCTCAGCCCACCGGCTGCAGCATCTGCTCCTCGAGGGCCCAGCTCCAGCGCCCGGGTGCCAGGCACATCCAGCGATTTGTCGGTCTAATTAAAGCCTTAACAGCCTAATCAAAGCCTCATTGTCAGTCCAGTTGTATTTATAGTCCCACTTGTCGCAGCGTGCTCCCAGTACGGCTGCCCTGGGGTGCTGACGTTCCCGGCTGAGAAGGGGCTGGGGGAGCTGAAAGTCCTGCTCTGCGCCCCCTTCCTTGCTCTCACAGCAAGGAAGGCTCTCCCTTACTTCCAAATTTGCTGGCTGGGGGCCATTTCCCAGGCGGTGGAGGCTTGTTCTTGGCTCTCCCTGGCACCCCTAGGGCAGTTTTTCCCAGCTCGAGGCTGCTTCTCCCCTGGGAGCACCAGGGCTCTGGTACCTAGTGGGCTCCGTGCTTGCAAGTTTTTCTGTTTTCCTCTGACACTTTTTGAGCTCTGGCTTCCCGGTAACACAAATTAATGTTTCATGAGCACGGTGGGGTGAACTCAACACTTAAGGAAAGCGATGACCCAGCAGGAGAGAGGCGCAGGTGCGCTCGCACACGGGCAGGGGCACACGCACCTCGCACACACATGGGCACAGCTGGAGTCCACCCGGCAGGACTTGGGCGCAGTGTGGGGGGTCCAGCCCCGCTCTCCCCAGCTGCCCTCTCTCTTTCCTCCCCAGCAGCCACCAGGACGGAGAAGGCAGAGCCATGGCATCACTGCTGTGCAATGCCCGTGAGTGCCTCAGCGGAGGGGAGGTGCAGGGCAGGGTGCTGGGCCATCTGGTTTTACACCAGGGCAAATCTGGCCCGTGGGTTGAGCTCACCTTGCCGCACTCAGCAGCTTTCCTACCCCACTGTGGCTGTTGGGATTTGGGCTTGGCAGTGCCGAGGGTGGATGGGGAGGGTCGATGGGGAATTACCTTCTGCCCCTCTTGTGGTGAAGGGAGTTTGTTTGGGGTCCATCCCTCCTTCATCCCAAATTGAGGGACCACATAGGGTCCCGGAGGCAAGAAGGAACAAGGTACTGGGGTACAGTGCCTGGGTACCCCTGCCCTCAGTGACGCAGCCCATGCTGTCCCCAGGCATCCAGCTCACAGACACGCTGGAGCAGATGCAGCAAGGGACACTGATGCGCAAAGTCAAGTCCAAAAGCTGGAAGAAGCAGCGTTATTTCAAGCTGCAGGATGACTGCATGACCATCTGGTACCAGTCCAAGAGGACAGGCAAAACTGAGTCTGCCTGTGAGTACCGGCTGCTGTGTGTTGGCCATGGGGCCATCGGTAGGGTTCAGAGTGAACAGGGATGTGAATGTATGGAGATTCTTGGAGTCATGCTTGCAAAGGGTACTGGGGCATTCAAAAGAGACTGTGTGTTTGAAGGGGGGGCTCTTACCCACACCTCTCCATGAAGCACCCTGCTCTGAGCACGACACATGGGTCACAAGGGCTGGGAACAAACTGCAGCTGATACAAGTGGAATTTCTGGCATGCCAGGGGAGGAGTAGGCAGACAAACAGAGGCGCAGATGGATGAGTAGCTTAATGGATGGATGGATGGATGGATGGCTCAATGGTTAGATGGGTGGATGAGTATCTCAGTGAGTGGATGGATGGATTGATGAGTGGAAGAAGGGATGGCTGGAAGGACAGATGTCTCTGGGCAGTGCCCCCTGCCCTGCAGTCCTTGTCGCCCACAGACAGGCCTCCCCTCCCTCTGCCCCAGTCTCCATCAGTGATGTGGAGACGGTGCGGGAAGGGCACCAGTCAGAGGTGCTGCAGAGCCTGGCCGAGGAGTTCCCCCCTGAGCGCTGCTTCACCATCGTCTTCTATGGCCGCCGGGGCAACCTGGACCTCATTGCTGGCTCGGCAGAGGAGGCGCAATGCTGGGTCCAGGGCCTGCGCCAGCTCATCGAAGTGGCCACCAGCATGGACCAAAGGGAGAAGATAGACCAATATCCTTCCTGTGGGCGCCACGCTGCCCTCCACAGCCAGTCCTTCCCCCATCTCTGGCCATCCCCCAGGCCCTGCATTGCCAGCCTTGCCTGAGTGTGTGCTTAGCTCCTCTGGGTCTCACCGACTGCATGAGGGCAGAGAGAGCCCACAGAAAAAGGAAAAGGGGCCCTCTGATGCTCCCCAGGCCCATCTCTCTTAGCCAAGGTCCTTTCCCTTAACATCTGCCCCGGTTTCTTGCACGTGGATTCGCGACTGGTTCCAGAAAGCTGACAAGAATAAAGATGGGCGCATGAACTTCAAGGAGGTGCAGCGTCTCCTCAAGATGATGAATGTGGACATGAATGAGGACCATGCCCTGCGGCTCTTTCAGGTAAGCACTGCACCTGAGGGCCTGGAGGGGCTGGGGAGGGGCTGGAGGGGCTGGAACAAGCCTGTGCAACACCTCCCTGCAGCAGCGCTCCCTTGTGGCCGGGGAGGGGCTGGGGAGGGGCTGGAGGGGCTGGAACAAGCCTGTGCAACACCTCCCTGCAGCAGGATGTGGTCACTTTCTTCTGGATGTCCATCCATCCATCCGTCCATCCATCCATCCATCCATCTATCCATTTATTTGTTTGCCCAATTATCTGTTTACCCAGACAAACATCCGTTTGTTCATTTATCTGTCAACCTAACCAGCCAAGGCTCCTCCCTCCCATTCATTTGTCCATCCAGCTCCTTATCTGTCTGCCCAGCTAACCAGCCATCTGTTTATCCATCAACCCAACCATCCAGACAGCTGCCCATCCCTCCCTCCCTCTGTCCATCTCTGCATCCATGGATCCATCCATCTATCAGTCCACCAAACCAGCCCTCCATCTGCCCATCTATCTACCCATCCAACCACATCCAACCAACCATTCATGCATTGATTGATGCCTACCACTCTCACTGGCATGGAGTCTCTGTACCCTCCTTTGGGGGTGGGTGAATCCCCCTGCAGGCTCATGGGGTGGCCAGGACACCCCATTTTGCCCCAGCTGGATGCTGAGTGAGCTCCCTTGCAGGCTGCTGACAAGTCGGAGTCAGGGACGCTGGAAGGGGAGGAGTTTGTGCTCTTCTACAAGGCCCTCACACAGCGTGAGGAGGTGCTGAGCCTCTTCCAGGACTTCTCTGAGGATGGCAAGAAGCTGACACTACTGGAGCTGGTGGATTTCCTGCGGCAGGAGCAGCTGGAGGACGAGGGCACAGAGGAACTGGCCATGGAGCTCATCGACAAGTATGAACCTTCAGAGACAGGTGAGAGCCAGCCCAGACATCAGCTGTGCTCTGCATGGGGGGAAGGAGGGGACTGAGACCCACAGCTCCATGGCAGGGGCATCCTCAGCCCCATCCTCCTGCAAGTGGGCACAGGGGGAAGGCTCACCATGGTGTGACTTGGGTGCAGTTCCCTTTTTTTGGTCCATTCCTGGACATTTTGATGCAGAATGTTGACCAGCCATGGGGTACAAGGTCTGGCTTTAGGGTCTGCTGCCCCGCTTCCCACAGCTGCTGCCCCAAGGCGTCTCTGCCTGTTCCCCAGCCTCTGGCAGCAGCCGTGCCCACCAGACTGGGGATGGCAGGAGCCACCAGCAGCCCCGTTTGTCCTGATCCTGTCCCCTCTTAGTCCCCGGCTGTTGCTGAGCCTCCCCCTCCGCCTGCAGCCCGGGCTCGCCATGTGCTGAGTGCTGACGGGTTCCTCATGTACCTCTGCTCCCCGGAGGGCTCCATCTTCAACCCCCGGCACCGGGTGCTGTGGCAGGACATGAGCCAGCCGCTCTGCCACTACTTCATCTCCTCCTCCCACAACACCTACCTGATAGAGGACCAGATCCGAGGCCAGAGCAGCATCGAGGGCTACATCAGGTAAAGGGGCTGCTCCCTCCTGGCTGCTCCCCAGCACCCTCCTGCTCCAGTGCCGTGTCCCAGGCGGGTCCATGGGGCAAACCCACCAAGAGGAGAAGTTTCTTTGCCCTCTCCTGGTCTAGCACCCCTGTGGCCGTGCCATGTGGTGCCCAGCAAAGGGGTCCATTTGAGGGTTCTGAGCCCAGCTCTTCCTGCCCTGTGTGCAGCAGCATCTCCACCCTTGGCGGTTGTCCCCTGGTCCCTGCAGGAGTGACACCCACAGCCAGAGGGGAGGGCAGGGGACTGGTGCCCTGGGCAGGGGACTGGTGCCCTGGCCAGGTGCGGGGTCCCAGGGGTGACCACCTACCCGTAGGGCTCTGAAACGGGGCTGCCGGTGCCTGGAGGTGGATTGCTGGGACGGGCCGAACGGGGAGCCCATAGTGTACCACGGCCACACCTTCACCTCCAAGATCCCCTTCCGGGAGGTGGTGAGCACCCTGGGGAAGTACGCCTTCAAGGTAGGGCACCCTTCCCTGGGTGCTGGCTGTTGTGGGTGGCCCTTGGCTCATGTTGGTGGTGGGGAACGTGCTTGCAATTTGGGGCAGCGATGGGTCTCTGGGGGGGGAGCGGTGCTGGGGCTCACGTGCCTGGTGCTGCAGCAGGACTGACCCCACTGCAGGCAAGGAGGGTGTCTGTGTCCCTTCCTGGGGGACAGCACTGGGGGGTCTGACCCACAGCCCTGCACCATGCCATGCCAGGGGTCAGGGGCTCATGCAGAGACAGTCTGCTGCGGGTGCAGGGGTGAGATGGGGCCTGGGGAATGTGGGGGTGAGGTGGGATATGGGGGATGCTGGGGGATTGGAGGGGTATGAAGGTCTCAGGGGGATACAAAGACACAAAAGGGGCTCCATCCTGGCACTGATCACGCCTGGGCAAAGCCCTTGTGAGAGCTCCTCAACCCCACTGAGGCTGATCTCCAGCTATGCATGTTGCTCCCCAGACCTCGGACTACCCAGTGATCCTGTCCCTGGAAAACCACTGCAGCATGGAGCAGCAGGAGGTCCTGGCCCAGCAGCTCAAGTCCATCCTGGGGGAACAGCTCCTCACCACCACCACTGACGGGCGTGTCCCCACCCAGCTCCCATCCCCGGAGGTAGGGACAGAGCGTGGCCGTGCTGGGCATTGCTGTCCTGCCTGGGAGGGGGGTGAGGAGCTGGCTCTGCTGTCCAGAGGAAAGGCTGCCCCTGTCCCAGCATTGTCCTGCTTTGCTGGAGCACTCAGGGACCCTGGGGACACTGTGTCCTCACATTCATAGGAGTCCCAAAGCTTTCCCCAAGGTTGTCTCCCCATGCCCTGCAGAGCCAGAGGGATAGCAGGGTAGAACCCTCCTACCCCATCCCCTCCTCGGTGCTGCAGGGAGCTGGTGGTGCTGGCGCCCAGCAGTGCGGGGTCCCAGGGGACAGCAGGTCCCGTGGAGGAGATGAGCACGCCAGGGTGCCTACCTCTCCATCCACAACCTCGCAGGAGCTGAAGCACAAGATTCTGCTGAAAGGGAAGAAGATCGGGCGGCTGGAGGACATGCTGGACGGGACAGGGGACGAGGCGCCCGATGTGTCTGATGACGACAACGGGGCAGAGGCAGAGGAGGAGAGGAGGAGGGTGAAGGTGCGTGGCCCAGGCTGGAAGGGCTGAACCCCCAGGCACAGCTGTGGGCTGTGGTGATATCCCAGTGCAGAGGGAAGAGGTAGAGACTGCAGGGACATCACCAGGGAAGGGGAACAGCCCTTTCTGCCCCTGACCATGCCAGCCTTCTCTTTGCACGGCGTCCCTGTGGTGGCACCATGGTGGGGGTCCCTTGCCTGCTCCGTTCCTGGCAGGAAGGCTGCCTGTGGTGGGGATGCCGCCACCCCCAGCACCGCCCTGGCTGTTCTTGGCTGCCCCAAGCTCTACAGCCCCTGTCCTGGTGAGTGCTGGGAGACAGTGCACTCAAGTTAGGGACCCAACACAGCTCTGCCTTGCAGAAGGACAAGGAGAGCCTGGCACAGGCGTTGTCTGACTGCGTTGTCTACTGCAAGAGCGTGTCCTTCCGGGGCTTCCAGGAGGCCCGCAGCCATTCCCGGCCCTCTGAGATCTCCTCCCTTGCTGAGGCCAAGGCCAGGAAGCTCATCCGGGATGCGGGTGAGGCAGGGGGGTGGCTGTGGCATATAGAGAGCGGGCCAGGGTGTGGGGGGGCAGGTAGCTTCCTCGGGCATAGGGCTAGAGCCTCCAGACATCGGGGTTCTCTCCGTGTCTGGGGGAAAGAGGGTCCAGTGGGGCTGCACCCTGGGTTTTGGCTCTGGTGTGTGAGGTGGGGTTATTGGCTTAGAAAGTGAGGCAGGTTCCTGGGAGGGAAGAGGGATGAGAATTGGTGGGTGGATGGATGTTTGGATGGGCAGATGAGTGGGTGAGTTGGTGGGTGGATGGATGGGTGAACAGCACGTGGTGTGGGTCGTTGTGCGGGCCAGGGAATGACCCCACGAGTGGGCCTTACCCTCCATCCCTAGGGAATGAGTTTGTCCGCCACAACGCCTGGCAGCTGACACGCATCTACCCCAGCGGGATGCGGACCGACTCCTCCAATTACAGCCCCCAGGAGATGTGGAACGTGGGGTGCCAGATTGGTACGGCTGGGGGGCATCAGGGCTGTGGGTGGAGGACATGCCCTGGGTCCTGTGCCAAATGGCACCATCAACACCCATGTTGGTGCCAGCTACAACCCCAGCTGGAGCCAGGTCTGGCTGCAGGCTCCTGCTCTGCCCTGGGGAGCCTGGGCGTACCCAGGCATTGGTGCCTTGTGCCCCTCTGCAGCCCCACATCTCTCTGGCCATGGGGACAGGCTGGTTCTCAGCTCCAAGCTGCCCTGAACCCTTTCCCTGCCACCTTCCTCCAGTGGCCCTGAACTTCCAGACAGCTGGCACGGAGATGGACCTGTGTGACGGGCTCTTCAGCCAGAACGGCCGCTGTGGCTATGTGCTCAAACCACCCTTCATGAGGGATGAAGAGACTCTCTTCAACCCTAGTGACCCTGGCAGCCGCGAGGGCCCTTGCCCCATCACCCTGACAATCCAGGTACGGGGCCGAGGAGAGAGCCCAGGGAGCCGTGGCAGCGTCCTGGGGCTCCATCAGTCCCAGACGGGTGGCGACACCACTGGGCAACGTGCTAGAGCTGAGCAGCCTCCCAGCAGATTGGTTTGGCTGCTCCCTGGCTCACAGGCTTCCTGCCCCTTCCCGCAGGTGATCAGTGGGCAGCAGCTGCCCAAAGTGGCCAACAGCAAGGACGGAGATGTCATTGACCCGCTGGTGCGTGTGGAGATCCACGGGGTCCCCGCGGACCAGGCGCGCCAGGAAACCAAGTACATCGAGAACAATGGTGAGCCCCAGGGTGGTACCAGGGACGCTGCTTCACCCAGGCAGCCAGGCCCTGCCCTCCCAGCACCCGCTCTCGCTTCCCAGGGTTTAACCCCCACTGGGACGAGACGCTACAGTTCCAGCTCCACGTGCCCGAGCTGGCCCTCGTCCGCTTTGTGGTGGAGGATTATGACAAGACCTCCAGGAACGACTTCGTGGGCCAGTTCACCCTAGCTTTTGTCAACATCAAACCGGGTGAGGTGCTGCGGCCTGGGGTGGTGGTGGGGGAGCAGGGCAGCCTCACAAGGGTGTCTGGGGCTCAGCTGGGTGCTAGAGTGCAGGGTGGGGGGTAGTGGTCAGCCAGAGCCTCGCTGTCCCCCCTGCAGGCTACCGCCACATCCATCTCCTCTCCAAGGACGGCACCAGCATCCCACCCTCTTCGCTCTTTGTCCACATCCGCATCACGGAGCCGCCTGGTCCTGAGCAGGACTGAGCTCCTGGGGCAAGCAGGACCCGGATACAAGCCATAGAGTTGGCCCCAAGCGGCTGGGGCCACAGAGCCAACTGCATCGTCCTCTTGTCAAGCTGTTTGTGTCATCCCTGTGTCGTCGTCGCTGCTGTGTTCCCCTTTGCAGTAGCCTCCAAGGGCTGGGAAAAGGCACTGACCTCCCCTTCTCAGGTTCAGGATGCTGCCTCCCACGCAAGAGCGTGGGCTCTGTGCTGGTGCAGCCCCCTGCACCCCACCACATGCATCCTGCCCTGGCCCATGGGCACAGCTTGGCTGCGGGGAGGAGGAGAGATGGTGCACGGTGACCTGTCAATGCCACAGGGGCTGGTCCCCCCTGGCCAGGGGAGCAAGGCTGGAACCAAGCAAAGCCCAGGCCTGGGCAGAGCTGAGAGAGGAGTCAGTCCTCACTGCCCCCTGACCCTGCAGAGGCCCATCACAGCCCCTGGCTCCTAACCCTTGCCTCGTCCTTTTTCTGTAAGCAACCTAATAAATTGTTCGGTGACAGGCAGGCTCGGGTCTGGGTGCAGTGGTGCTGTGGAGAGACGGGGAGCCGGGCGTGTGCTTACACTTTTTTTTTCATCTGGCCCACTGTCCACACAGGGCTCCAAACAGCCCCAAGAAAGGGTATGAAAAGTAGCTGAGAGATTCCTTTTATACAGCTGCGTATCTTACAACCCATATACATATATGCCTATACATACACGTACATCTCCACAACCAGCCTGTGCCACTGGGGCCTTAAAGCAGTCAGGATTCAGTCTCACTGTGAAGCGCTGTCCTTCTCCACAGGGCACTCTCCTTCCTGCTCCATCCCGGGGGGCCCCTCAGCCCGGCTCTCCCTCTGCACGGCGTGGAGGTGGACGGTGGGCGTGCTGGGGTCCTTGCCCACCCCTTGGCTGGGGTCGCTGGCCCCACGCTCGGGGTGATGCCGCTGGATGTGTTTGATGACCTGGAACTTCTGCTTGGCCTTGTAGGGGCAGTAGCGGCAGAAGAAGGGGTGCTCGTTGGTGTGGGTCAGGTAATGGTGGCGCAGACCAGCCGCCCAGCGGAAAGCCCGCCCGCAGGCGTTGCAGACGTAGGGCTTCTCCTCACTGTGCTTCTTCAGGTGGGTCTTGAGGAGGAAGCGGGTCTTGAAGGCCTTGCCACACTGCTCGCAGATGAAGGAGCGGGCCTCCCGGTGCCGCGTCTCCTTGTGCACCCGCAGGGCGTCAGCCCGGTTGGTGCGGTACTCGCACTCGTCACAGCGGTATGGCTTCAGGCCTGTGGCAACAGGGAAGGGGATGGCACTGGGACAGGGGGATGGTGCCCTCCATCCCGTGGGTCTCACCCTCCCTGTAACAGAGCATCAGTCCCCAGCAACTTCTCCCTACAGTCCATCATGTCAGCAGGCACCCCAAGACACCCCATTTCCAAGGCACCACACAGTGCCTGGGCTCCACACCATCCCACCTTCCCTCCCACCCCAGGGCACTGTCCCCAGCCCACCAGCACATGAGAACGAGCAGCCCTGCAATTGCTGGGGGTCCTCTCCCGTCTCCAGCTGGACCACTGGTAGTAAAGGAAGCATGGAGCTGGTGTCCCCACAGCCCCAACACCCTCCCTGGCGCCACACGGCCCGTCCCCCGTGGGCAGCACTCACCCGTGTGCTTTGTCATGTGGTACTTGAGCTGGTTCACCCACTTGCACTTGTAGCCGCAGTCAGGGCAGAGGTATTTCCGCTCCTCCTTGTGGATCCGCATGTGGTACTGGGCACAGGACAAGAGGGCAGAGTCAGGATGAGGCCATGTCCTCTGCCCTGGGAATGTGCAGGGCTCCGGAGTGCCAGCAAGGGGCTCAAAGACAGCTCTAACGTCTCAAACTGTGTGGGGCAAGGAGGGCTGTCAGCTTGCCTGGCAGACTATGGGCAGGGGGCATCCACAGCGGGGTCAGGACAAGACCCCCCCACACTGTTGAGCTTGCTCTGTCCCAGCCTGTGGATGGCACAGGCTTTTCTCCTCAGTTTGGTATCTAGGGAAAAGTCCGAGTTAAAACCCAGCCCAACCAACAGAGCTAGCCCTGAGCTGAGTATGTTGTGCAGCTTTGCCCACACGGCCCCAGAGAGCTCCAGCTCAGCCCGGCCATTAAAAAAGTCAATATTTCTTTTAGCAAAACCAGAACATTTTCCCCTCCATTACCTCATGCCTGGCCCTCCTGTTCCAGGAAAGGCCCTTTACCATGCACGAGGATGCTAGTCACCTACAGAAATGAGGGCAGGGTCTGGTCTAACTGGTGCCACAGAGCATGCTGCAAGCCAGCTGGCAGCCAAAATTGGCTTCG